AATTGCTTCCTTAACTTCCTTTTAGACTCCCCACCTTCAGTACCACTCTCATCAAGGCAGCGCCAGGCTGTGCCAGGTTGCGCTAGGCTGGGCCAGTCCCACAGGATACGGCGACCCAGCCGGGGCTATTCTTGTCTGTGTCTATTTGCAAAATGCCTGTTGTTCTTGGTGGCTGTTTTTCCCATCATAAACGTTGACTTGGCAGGGGCCCCAGGGTGGAAGCCATGGTGGAGGAGCTTCCAGAGTCTGCCTAGAAAGTGCAGCTGGTCCTGAGTGCCAGGCTGAGGAAAGAGAGGTTCATAAGCACTGCCTCTCAGGGGGTGCCCGGGGAGGTGCTGTCACCAGGACAGCCTGATCGGGTCCAGCGTGGGCCTCTGCCAGCACACGCTCTCTTTCCCTGAAAGACAGGCCTGCGGGAGCTGCATGGTCCTGGCCGGTGAGGCTGGCGATCTCTCCCCTGCCTGCACCCTCCCCTCAGCCCTGCTCTCTCTAGGAATTCTCCGGTGTCGGGTTGGGGAGGCTACTTGGGGCTGTGCCCTGAAGCACACAAATCCCCAGGGCGACTGCCTATCTGTACTCTGTTTGAGCTTATTCTCGTATGTATGCACTCATTTGTAAATTGTGTATGTGTAGTGCTACCCAATATGTATTAGAAAGAAAAATCTAATGAACACACATACATATATTTTTTATTTTTCTTTTCTTCTTTTTTTTAGCAGTATTGGAGACTGAACTCGGGGCCTTTGCCTTGAGCTACACCCCTAGCCCTTCTGTATTATTTTGAGACAGGCTCTCTGAGTCTCTGAGTTGCTGAGGTGGGACTCAAACTTATGATCTTCTTGCCTCAGCCTTGCAGAATGCTGGGATTGCAGATGTATGCCATATGCTCAGCTTTTAATCTTATTTTATGTAAGGTGGTACACATGATTGAGTATCTTCTTTCTGTATAAGCAATGATTCACATAATCACCTTGAACCACAAAAATCATGAAAAATGGAAACACTGCCAGATGTCGGTTGTCTGTGTAGCACATGCATCAAGGACTTTGCTGCCGGTGAACCCCTTTTGTGGTGTGCTGTCATTCTACTTTTTTGTTTTGTTGAGACAGGGTCTCGCGATACACTTCAGACTGCCCTGGAATTCACTATGTAGCCCAGGCTGGTCTCCCTCACAGTGATCCTCCTGCCTCAGCTTCCTGAGTGCTGGGATTACAAATGTGTGCCACCACGCCTGGCTGGTGTGCCGTCATACTAAAAAGTTATGGGCTGGGGATTTAGCTTAGTGGCACCGCACCTGCCTCGCAAGTGCAAGGTCCTGAGTTCAACCCCTGGTACCAAAGAAAAAAAAAAGTTAATGGCATCAGTAAAACTCTCTTGTAGCACAGAAAAAGCAGTATTCATAGTGAGCTAAAAGCAAAGGCAGAAGGGTGCATGCATGACACCTACCAGCCCAGGAAAGGGTCCAGCAGCAAACTGTGCTGTAACTGCTCCATGAAACTTATTTTTTCAGATGAAAATTGATACATTTTCTAGTATTTTCTCCCTATCCTGCAGGATTGTCTTGCAGACTCTGGAATATCTTATAGTGTTGTCTCTCTCCATATTCCTAGTTGTACCTAACAGATAGCAGGTGATCAATGAGTGTGTAAGAAAGAGGTGAATCAGACAGGCCATGCTGGTACACATCTGTAATTCCAGTGCCTGTGAGGCTGAGGCAGGAGGATTGCTGTGAGTTTGAGGCCAGCCTGGGCTACATAGTGAGTTGAAGACCAGCTTAGATATAGAGTGAGACCCTGTCTCAACTCCCTCCCCCCAAATAAATACATGAATGCATTGTCACGCCCCTTTCCTGTCATATGTGGGGAAGCTATTTTCATGTTTTTTTTTTAAATTAGAGAATACTTTATTAGTTTTTGTAATCAAACCCATGTAGATAAGACCTTACATACTTAATGCAATGCATTACCGCTTACAAATGGGAAAAATTAAGTTTAATATTTCTAGACCCATGTGGCTGTTAATCTCTGTACAATGCCACTCAACACAGTAAACTGGGATAACTTTTTCCAAAGTTGACAGCACAGTTAAAGTTTCCAAAATTTCAAATTTATATATGATATATTATAATACACAATATATAATCTATATATTTATATAAAAAGACCAATAATAGCATTGTGTTATTCGTCAATGGCAGCAGCAGCTTTTCCAGGTTTTGCAGTCATCCGAACAAAATTATAGAGACATCCAGAACACTCCATTTAAAAAAAAGAAAGAAAGAAAAGAAAAATACCCAGAAAGCAGCAAAGTTCTGTTACTGTTGTGGTGTACTGGCTGTATATTATTTTCTAGCATTTTCACATGGCCCCCTTCTTCCATGTTCTGGGCCCTTGGCAAATGCTTCTTGAAGGTGACACACCTGGTAACACGTAGGACCGTGGAGTCATAAGGGAATATAATTCAGGAGCTAGCAGGGGACTCGGCAGTCAACTAGTTCCTTATTGAAGTCAAACTCAAAATAAACCATGGTATAGCCACAGAATGGAAAGCTACTCAGCAATAAAAAGGGATTGACCTAATGATTTATGGAGCAACACGGTTGAGGCATAAAAGAATCACTCTGAGTGAAAGACGCTAAACAAAATATTATAAACTGAATGATTTTACTTATAAAAAATTCTAGACTATGAAAATGAGTGACAGGAGGCAGTGGTAAGTTACCTATGGGTCCACAGTGGGGAAGAGGGTGCCAAAGGGAGGGAAGGCTGGATTCGGAGAGGCGTGCAGAAATGTTTGGGTGCGCCGGCTAATCCATAATCTTAGTGGTGACGATACTTTCACAGGCTTGAGCAGATGTCAGCATTCATCTCGTAGGACGTTTCAGATATGTACAGTTTACTATGTGTCAATTATACCTCAATAAAATTTAAAGAAAAAATGGAGGCGTGCACTTCCTGGTGGAGTAAATGTTTAACACCAGATTCACATGCAATATGCTGGGGGTTCAGGTCGAAGTCGATACAGCCCACGGCTCCAGGGAGGGAGTAAGATGAGCAGACGCTTGACATCCAGGACGCTAAATGCTAAGGGAAAGGACCACACAGGAACAGGAGGAGTGCAGAGTGGTGGCAGCGGTTCCTGTGCTGTGAAGGTCAGGGAAAGCCTTGAGAAGGAGAGGAGCAGAGGAAAGGCCGACTTGGTCACATGGAGGAGCCTCCCCACAGGAACAGCGTGCACCAAGCTGGGGACGTGCAACCACTGCATGTGTTTGTCTCGACTAGAGCAAAGGACACATGGGGAAGTAGAGAAGAGCCTGGAGAGCTGGCCAGAGCCAGATCTTCAACCTTTTGCTGCCCTCAAAGTCCTGGGGTGTCTTTGTGTCCCAAGGCTGAACAGTGTTTGCAAATGTAGGTCCGTGTCACTGGGACATGGCCTTCTGGAAACACTTGGCATGGTGGAGGCTGTGACACCCAGAGCTGCTCAGTTGTGCCTGGGAGCTCCTGTGTTTCTCCAGGGTGTTTCAAGACCCAAAAGAGGAGAGAGTTGGTTTAGATCTGGGTGGCAGCTGGGAAACATCTGCTGCTTGCAGCTGCTCCTGGGACTGAGGATGTCCGGTGCATCTGAATATCGAGGCAACCAGCAGTTCAGCTGCTCTTGAGGCAGTTTTTCCACAGGTAGAGAATTTTGCCTTTATCTGGCTTGTGGCACCAGTCCCTGAAGTCTTGCGCTTCTGATGTTGGCCTGTCTGGTGCTCTTGCCTTTTATCTATCTGCTAGCCAGTCATCCCCAGATTTCTTCTTTTAAAAATAAGAACACAAATTTATTGGTTCTATACAACTTGAACATTGTCAAGTAGATTTATTTTAAAAGTATGGCGATCAATCTAAAATGCACTACCTGCTTTTTTTTCCAACGCTGAGCTTAAAACAAAAGTGGAAATTTGAAAATCAGGATAAAAGATTAAGTTCTTTTTAAAGGTGGACTTAGGAGAGGCAGATAGCTTTTAATGATGTGGAGGTGGAATAAATTATTATTTCAGGGGAAAAAAATTCCCAAACACCTATACTCCCAGATTTCTTAAGAGTCCCTCTGGAGTTGTTTTTAGAGTGATTTGCAGAGCAGACTAGGATGTTAAATTCTGGATATGGTTGTCATTACACATTAAAAATGCAGGCAGCAGTGCAGAACACAGCTGGCTCATGTCAGCCCGACATCTCGGTGTAACCAGAGGAGGGAAACATGGACGGGGCTTGTGCTAATGGAAGGAGATGCCAGATTGCATGGCAACCTTGGGATCCTTTTTACCCTGCTGCCTGCCACTCTCTGGCTGGAAGAAAGACGCTTGTGTTTTGGCTAGAGGTAAAAGTGGGATTTCTGCTTAGTGAGCATTTCTGCGATCTTGAGATCAAGTTGCTTGCTTTCTGAAAGGGAGCTCCCTTCAGCCACCTTAGGAGGATCACGATGGTCGTGGCAGTGACGACCTCCCGGAAGGCAAAGAGGAGCGACGAGCATGGATGTCACTGTTTCTCCTTATTCTTTGCTGTCTTCAGGAGGACCGGGCCAACAGAGCAAATAGAAGTGCTCGTCCTGGTTTCCCATGCCCCAGCCGGTGTGTGAACGTGCGGCCAGCACACACGGTTGCAATCAAACGGGACTAGAAAGGCCAGTGTGGATTAATGATATCAGGTGGATTAATTCTATCAGACAATGTCAGGAGGAAAGAAGCTTTTAATGGCAGCAGAGTTTGGGTTTTTTTTCCCCCTCCCACTTTCTCACGTGAGCTAGTGAAATAGTTCAAGTGTGGGCAGGTTTGAGCTCTGTAGCTCTCTATTCTGCCTTCCCACCCCACCCCATGCCATCTGCCAGCTGGACTGTTAGCTGGCTCAGTGCTCCCTTCTGCTTTGCAGTCCTCGAAGGTCATGCTTGCTGTGATTGGGGTTGGTTTCCCAATGGTAGGTAAAATGGATATCTAACTATCGATTTGTTTTCTTGCATTTCAGTCGTTCCAAGGAAGTCAAGGACGAGCATATCTCTTTAATTCAGTGTGAGTGTCTCTGAATTGGTGTATCTGTTGTTTTGTGCAAATTTAGAGGGATGGGGAAAAGCAACTCTCAGTCATTCAACAATGAACCCTTACTGGCAGGCTCTGCAGTTGGTAGTCGGTTACCTTTGGAGAAAGTTTTTTTTTTAAAGCAGCATCTCTGGCTAAAAATAATGCATTCACTACACTGTCCTCAGAAGGCACTGTAGTCCCATAGTGTGGAAGCTTCCGAGAACGTCCTACAACCAGCTCAGACCTGTCACCGGGGAAGAAATGAGGGTGAGCAAAGGATCTTCCCCAAGAATGACCAAAAGAACCCAAGGATGGAGGGAAGGCTCGATTAGGGAAGAGCCTCGGTCTCCTACTGCAGACGTGGTATGCACAGCCCTGGCGGCCATCACTGGGCATGCGATTTATTACTCCTGGGAAAGAAAGGCAAAGCTCATGTAAGCCTGATGAACTGTAAAGATGGAAATCTGGCCGTCCACCCTGAAATAGGTGCTCTGTGAAGAGAATGGCCTCACCCATCCTCGTGATGACAAGACTGTGCCATCGTGTTTGACATCTTTGGCTTCATTCAGTCCTCAGCAAGCTTTGAGGATGGTGCTCTTCTCGGCTGTGGACTGCACAGTGTAGTTGTTGTCCCCTCATGTCACAAGATGAAGAGTATTTGTTAGAAAATCCTGAGCAGAGTCTCAATGAGGGCTATTTTAATAGACCCATTGAATTCAGCCTTGCAGATCTGAAATCCATTCCAACTGAGATGGTTCCATATGGCTCCCTTTTTGGGGTTATTACTGGTTTCAGTTTTCGGCCAGATTCTCCTCAGTGTTGGTTTCCCCTGGGGAATCCTTATCCAGCCTTAGTTTTTGCTGGCCGCTCATTCTAAACAACTAACGATGTAGGCACATGTGACTAACTCGCCTCTCTCCTTCTGTCTTTTGGCATAGAGTTAATGTGGGCTGTGGGCCTGCAGAAGAGCGAGTATTGCTAACAGGACTACATGCAGTCGCAGACATTTACTGTGAAAACTGCAAAACCACTCTGGGATGGAAATATGTAAGTACCAAGGCGTCTAGTGAGAGAAGGCTATGCAGGGAAAGAGAAAGGCCTCATGCTCAAAGTACTGTCTGCTACTGGCTTCCTATGGCCTTGTTGGGTTGTCTTTGACCAGGACAGGAAGCCAAGCTCAAAGATCACAACCTGGCGCAGCCATCTGTCTGCCAGGCTCATCCCTGTCGCTGAGGCGCGTGCACACACGCACACACACAGCACTCTAGACTTCGTAGGAACAGCATAGAACATTTCCTGACACCTCACTGCATGCTAGACATACATGATCACGTTCGCCCCTCACAGCATCCCTCGAGATTAGGTGCTCTTTTTGTTCCTATTTATGGGCGAAAATACTGAGGTTGAAGAGGGTTAATAGTATGTCCAAGTTTACCTAGCTGCGACTGAAGCAGGATAGGACTCTGGTTAGTAGTGCAACTGTCATGCTGGAATAAATATTCCTAGAAAACCACCTGGGTCCTAGGCCATGTGCTAGGCATCACTAGACACTATCTCTTTGTTTTGTTTTGTTTTTTTGAGACAGGGTCTCACTGTGTAGTTGAGACTGACCTGGAACTCACTATGTAGCGCAGGCTGGTCTCGAACTCACAGCGATCCTCCTGCCTCAGCCTCCCGAGTGCTGGGATTACAGGCGTGCACCACCATGCCCAGCTCCAGACACTATCTTAAATGTATACTGGGAGATATTGTTGTGACTGGACCCTCTAAAATAGATAATCTCTTTCTTTCATTGTTTAACTCAGTTAAAAAAAAAAAAATTAAGGTTCTCTTGGGACCTAGGAGGAGTGAGCCATTCTTTGCCAGGGTGAGAAAAGAGAAAGTCGGGGATCTGGTACTTTAAAAACACTGGGGACGAGCTGGGCATGGTGGTGTATGCCTGTAATCCCAGCATTGGGAGGCTGAGGCAAGAGGATCACTGAGCATTTGAGACAGGTTGAGATATATAGTGAATTCAAGGCCAGCCTAAACTACATGGTAAGACCTTATCTAAACAAAACAAAAAACAAAACACCACACTGGGGACTGAGCATTCTAACATGCATTGGGGTCACCACACAACCATACACATAGCCTCCACAGTCCATCTGACTAGAGGTTTATTTTTTTATTTTTTTTTTTCACTATGTAGTTCAGAGTTCAGAAACATGCATTGGGGTCACCACACAACCATACACATAGCCTCCACAGTCCATCTGACTAGAGGTTTATTTTTTTAATTTTTTTTTTCACTATGTAGTTCAGGCTGGCCTTGAACTTACTGTGTAGCCCAGGCTGGAGGCAATCCTCTTCCCTCAGCTTGCCAAGTGCTGGGATTGCAGGCGGGCACCGCCACACCCTGCCTGACTAGAGGTTTGGTACCATCTATGCAGCCAGAGTCAGGATGAAATATGGGCTCCATCACTTACTTGGCCAGCTGTTTTGGGGCCCCTTGTTATGGTCAGTTTCCCAATATTTAAGGTTTCTGAGTGTTAAATAGGATAGGCTTGTAAAATCCTTAGTTCATCAGTTGGCATAGAGTATACTTTTTTTCCTTTTTTTTCCCCCCTGGTACCAGGAATTGAACTCAGGACCTTACACTTGCCAGGCAGGCATGGTGCCACTGAGCTATATTCCTGGCCCTCATAGATATATTTTTAATGAAAATAGACATGGATTGTTTTGTTGTCATTGGTAAAACTTTTGCAGCCTGCATATGCACACACATGCATGGTGCACTACTTTTAATACTGTCATTGTAGATACTGAAAGACTGATGTTTCTGTTTCTGGGATAAGTTTATTTTATGTAAAATTCCTCAAACTCCCCATCTTGTCCTGGTACCTACATGCCTTTGGCTTGGGAAGAAGCCCAAGGGAGCAGTCACAACTGCTGCGGGGCGGTATAAGTGTGTCAGCAAAGGTTCCTTGGCTGTCACTAATGGACCACGCTGCTGTGAGATTCTTAAAGTGGAGGTCGAGGCTCCAGAAATCTTGGCAGTTTCTGCTCAGTTTTGTTGTGGCTTCAGTATGGCTCAGGAAAAAAAAAGTTATTGGGGGATATGTAAAATAATACGCGCAGTAGGTACCAGGTACAAAAGTGTGATTCCATGTCAATAAAATTCGAAAATAGATGTTATTAAAAAAATAAACTGTCACAGGTGGAATCTGTAGTGATTTTTGGCAGTGTGGCCCTCAGATTCCATTTCTGATTTCCATGGCAATGTCGAGTGCTAGAAAGAAAAAAACAAAAAACTCGACTGTGTGTGTGGTCTTTTTGTTTTGTTTTGTTTTGGCACTGGGGATTGAACTCGGGACCTTGCGCTTGCAAGGCAGGTGGAGGAACCACTGAGCTAAATCCCCAGCTCAACAGTGTGTTTCCTAATGGAAGATGGCTTATGCCCTGCTCCCTGGGGTTGGCTTGGCTGTTGCTGTGGGAGAAACCGAACTTTGGCATCTGGCCCTCTGTGCAGTCCCAGGCCACCCTGGCTGATGGGTGGTGGGGGACATGGTTCTGATATTGATGATCTGCCCCTCCTGCATTTCCAGCCTCTTGGCTGTCTTTTCATCGAGGATCTGTTGGGTTACAGTAATGAAAGATAACCTGAGTTGCTTGGTTTTGCTCTTTGCTGAAGGTTCAGGTAATATGATTCACTCATTTGATAAAGTTTTATTGAAAACCTTTGGATACCGAAGTGAGTGAGTGCTTGCATAGCATGTGCATGGCACTGGGTTCAATCCCATGCAGGCAGGGAGAGGGAGAGGGAGGGAGAGAACAAGCAAGCCGGCCAGCTATGGTGGTGCTCGCCTGTAATCCCGGCACTCAGAGGAGGCTGAGGCAGCAGAATTGCCATGAGTTCAAGGCAGCCTGGGCTACACAGTGAGTTGGGCTATGCAGCAAGACCCTGTCTCAAAAAACTAAAAGAAAAAAAAAAGTGAATGGGACCCAGTCCCTGCTCTGAAGGGATTCACAGTCATGATGCCAGGAGGGAAGGAAAGCACATGCAAACAGCACGGCCTGATGGTCAGGTGCTGTGCGCCAGGTGAGAGACCATCCCGCTCCCTGAATGTTGAAAACTCCCAGAGGGTTGTTGCTCTGTGTGCCAGATCCAGGGTGCCGTTCTTTCATTATTTCTTCTGAACATCAGAATAATCCGGTGAAGTAGATAATAATATTTTGAACCTCAAAATAACCCTAAGTAGCTCAATTTTGCCGTTAAATGAAGCAGTAGAGGTGAGCGCAGCAGGTGCTTCTGTAGGTTCCAGGTCTGGTGCTCTTTCTGCTGGAGTCCAGTGCCCACGTTTCCTAAGTGAAGCGTGCTCAGGGACAGTTGGATTTCTTTTTTCTTTTACTTACTAGAAAAACTGTCACTCTCTCGCTCTTGTTTTGTCACCCCCCTCTACCCTGAATATATTATTATGTAACAATAGGTCTCATTCTCACATCACGCCTCTCTGTTATGTTTGTGCATTGTGTGCACGCACGCGTGTGTTTGCATTTTCACATCCTCTCTTGGTTCCCTTCTCCTCTCTCCTCCCCCTTCCTTTTTCTCTCTTTTCCCTTCGCCACTTTGTGGAACGGTTCCTCTCTCCACAGAAGATCCAACTCTGAGCTCTTCTTCAGAACCCAAATGTCCTATGGCTCTAGAACAAAAGGTACAGTTCCTACAGATGCCCCCGGAACCTCTAGGCTGTAGGGCTCCGTTCCCTGTGAACCTGGGGGCTTGGCGGGAAGAACTCATGTCCAGTGCTTCCGGGCTTGAAGTTTAACCATGTAACGACTGCAGGGACCTGTGTTCTCGGACAGTGACACCTGAACGTTCTTAGGTTCCCTCACTGCACACAAAAGAGCCTGGACCCTACCTCTGTGTGGGACTTCTCTCCCTGGCTTTGTTACCTGGCTGAGCCCACAGTGCTTTTACATTTAGAAAGTAACCTGCCCGGTGTTTGGCTTGCGCTTTCCCTCTGCAGTCCTGGAAGTTGGGTGGGACTTGAAGGCTGCCAGGTTCTCCAGTCTGGGGTTTATACAGATGTTGTCTCCTGGAGAAAGGCAGTGAGGGCAGCGGGGAAAAGGGGAAGAAGAATAATTAAAGAAAAGAAACCATATTTAAATCATCTGACATAAAAACAGCAAGAACAAGGAAGTAAAACAGGGACCTGTTTGGCCTCATAATTCTTGGTTCCTCTTGCTAATGCAGCTTAAAATTATAACCAGACTTTTCCTGTGTTCTTAGAAACTAGCAAGAAGGACACAGGAACTTTGAAGGTATATCCATGAGTCAGATAATCAGTTAGCATCAAAAATTAAGGATCCCTAAGACTGTCTACTCCTTAACATATATTCATTCCTTTGGTAGTGATTTGTTGAAGATCTGTTATGTGCCCCACAGCCTTCTACGGATAGGATAGAACAATCAACAAAACACTAAAATCTCTCCCTTCTATGAAGTTTATAAAAAATATACCAAATGTTTAAATTTGGGGGGGTAGTATCGGGTATTGAACCCACAACCTTGCACTTGCAAGGGAGGTGCCAGTGCCACTGAGCTAAATCCTTGGCCTAAATTTTTTAAAAACTTAGAAGCCGAAGGGCCGGGGATTTAGCTCCGTGGTTCGGTGGCCTGCCTTGCAAGCAGAAGGACCCGAGTTCAATCCCCGGTACCAAAAAAAAAACCAAAAAAACAAAAAAAACAAAAAGAAGAAGAAGAAGCCGAATGTGGTGGCGCACATCTCTAATCCAACACCTGGGAGGCTGAGGAGGATCGCTGTGAGTTCGAGGCCAGCCTCAGCTACATAGTGAGTCCGAGGCCAGCCTGCACTATTTAATGAGACCCAAAAAAAGAAAAAAAATGTATAATAAAAAACATTGCTCTTAATTCCCCTCAGAATGCTCCCCCTTGCTTTTACCACACAAAGCCCATCCGTCCCACTTTCGGAAGCAGTTCTAGAGGTCCTCTTTCATGAGTGTCCTTAGTCGCGCTGTTAAGGCTGCTTTGGTGTCCTGAACTGGTTCAAAACTTCAAGCTTTCATGGTCGTTCTGACTTCAGGGAAGAGCTAAAAGTCGCATTACAGATCTGGCGGATGCGGGCACACTGTAAAAATTTATGAGCCCGCCTTTCAATTGCATGGCACTTGGCAGCAGCGGTCACTGTCGTTTTGATTGTACCTCGTAGGGACACTCATGAAAGAGGATTTCTAGAACTGCTTCAGAAAGTGGCCAGAAAAATGAGTTAAGTGTAATTGAAACAAAGCAAGTATTTTGAGGGGGGGTTAATGGTAATGTGTTTTTTTGCTGTGACATTTAAAAAAATGTAGCCGGGGATTTTGCTCAGGGGTTCTGCCGCCTGCCTCACAAGCGCAAGGGTCCGAGTTCGATCCCTAGTGTGTACACACACACACACACACACACACACACACACACACACACGTAGACATCTCACTGTGTATTTTGATCGTTCCTCATATGTTACCCTTACAGAAGACAGTAAAATAGTACCAAATTGTGTGTTGGAAGGTGGCAGGGACTGTGGATAAAAATAAAGCTGGGGCAGTGGGAGGAAAAGAAGTGCTGAGGTGCAATTTGGGATTTTAAGTACACTAGTTGGGAAAGACCTTACTGGGATGATGTCTGAGCAGAGATTCTGCTGTAGTATTGATGCTGCCCTGGTGTTGCCCCTGTCCTGCAGTGAGGGGCTGGGACAGAGTGCTTGTGTGGTAGGGGCCTCCTGGTGATGCTCAGACCAGACCTCAGTGTCCCATCATCAGCAACAGCCTGCTTCTGTGGCACTGAAGTCACCTGTTTGTCTCTGCTCACCCAGTCTCTTTTCTCTTCTGTTTTTAGGAACATGCTTTTGAAAGCAGCCAGAAATATAAAGAAGGCAAATACATCATTGAACTAGCACACATGATCAAGGACAATGGCTGGGACTGAGCGGGCAGCAGCCACCCACCCGCACATTGTACCCAGGCGTGAGAGAGTGACTGAACACTTGGTTCCATCCATTCGGGGGCCTTGCCATCTGGGGCACCCTCCCACCCTGACACCATCTTCCTGGTGACCGGCCTCTAAATGGCTGTCTCTCTGTCTCTTTGCTTTGTATCTGTTTGTGAGTTGATCCTGGCTTCTCTCTCTGTTCTAGTGTTTGCTGAAAACAAAACAACTAAAGGAACAGATCCTCGACCGCCTGGCAGCAGCCCACCTTGGAAAGGGCCCCAGGACCCTGCAAGAGCTGCCTGATGGCCTCTTGTCAGGAGAGCAGTGGCTCATGGGTGTGACGAAGAGGGAAAAGGGGATCCCTGAGGTCCTGGGGGTGGGCAGGGGCGGGAGGGTGGAAGTAGGGACAGAGCTGCTCTGCTCCTGGAACCCTGGTAACTTAGGCTTGAAATATTCAACTTGTCTAAAAGGACAAAGAGAAAAAAAAAATACCTCATGACTGCATTCTCTCTGACCCGAACCTTCACTTCCTGACTCCCGATGTGTCAGGACAGCAGATGAGCACAGAAGGGGCAGCAGGCCTGTTTCTCTCTGGCTGAGTTAGGGAATCTCTGGGTAGGGAGTGAGGTAGGCGAAGCCCAGGTGGGTTTTGATGACTCTCATGCCTCACACAGCCTCTGGGTAATCATCTTCTTTGCCTCAGCCACTGAAGATGAGGGGAAAGGGAACTATTTGCAATGAGTGTACGATGGATATATCCCAAAGGCTTTGACCATCAACCAAGTAAAATCAGAGATTGAGGCGAGCAGGGCATAAGGGAATGTTGCAGCTTGGGAGCTCCCGAAGAATGGCTCAGCGATCGAGCCAGCAAACCAAGACATAGAACCAGTTAGTAATTCTGAATGTCCACCTTTCTTTTCCTGACCCAGTGAGTGATGTGGCAGGGGAAGGGGTTGAGAGAAAGCATGGCTGGAATAGATCAGATCAGCACGTGTTTCTTCGGTTTTTAGTGGGGTCAACTATCCTCCGTTCTTTGTGCTTCAGTTGCGGTTGTCCAGTTCCATCATCGTAGACCATGGAAAACGCAGACCCAGGGCTTTGAGCCTAGTGATAGCCTGAGTAGTGGATTCCTCATGGCCCTAGTTGTCCTGGATCTGAATGTCTTCTGTGGCGAGAGATCTGTTCATGTGGTGCAGTAATTGGGGGAGGGGGTTACAAATTCCAGTATTAGCCTCTGTCCCCACCTCCCATCCAAGTTTCATTGTGTTAGGGAAGTGGAAAACAAATCCCTGTAAGGCTCGAGAGAAAGAAGAGTTTGTTACATTTAATCAACACTGTGAAGTCTGTTCTATGGCAATTCAGCCAGCGTATGGTGCATGACTGAAACTCATTTCGCTGAGTTCATTTCATTTCGTAGACTGAAAACATTAAGATTTGTGTGCATTAGGTGATTCTTAGCATCTCGTTCTGCAAGCAGGCTGATCCTATAGGAAAATGCAGCTTTAAAGGTCTCCAAAGAAAAGAAAAAAGAGTTCTTGGAGATAAGAATCTGTATAATCAATGAACCAAGATTAAATCCACCAACCCAGGATATTTTTGGAATCACGTCTGTAGCAGAACCAAATTCCCATAGGGAGTGAGTCTATGGTGGAAATGCCTCTTTGTGTCCATGTGCCACTGCAGAATGGGAGATTGAATACCGGCACGGCCTGCCCTTCTAGGAGCAGATGGCGGAATGACAGAAAGCCGGGTGATCGTGTGCGGCGGTGGACCGCCTCTCCTCCACAAAACAAAGCGTTCCTAGAAATTGACATTTGTTCCCCAAGGCTTCTTGCCCAGCCCTTTCCAGTGCTTTAGTAGCCTTGGAGATTAAGTTGTTCTCCTTACTTTATTGCAAGACAGACTGGAAGGGTTCAGAAGCATTTAATCTCTGCTTCCGAAGACCTTGTCCCCTGGCTCCCAGGCCCAAGTTCTCAATAAACATTTTTCAACTTTCACATTCCTAAGCTGGCTTTCCAGCACAGAAATCATGGATTTCCCCTCTTTGTCCCTCTTAAAGGAAGTGGCCTTCATTTGTGGATTGATTAGACCCCTTGCCTAGAGTGTCCCGGCTATTTCTTAAGAGTCTGCTTCATTAAGAAAAAGGGGAGGGAGCCCAATCTAGGTAGTTGTTTTGTCTCTAAAACTACAATTGGAATGTGGTGACAGAGAAACTGGACATGGGTGCCCTAGATTGTCAGGGGGTAGAGAAAGAGACCAATGTGCCACTGTTTTTTCTTAGAGATGGGGCCTGGGTCAGAGCAGGCTCCAGCCAGACCCCCGTTCTGGTTGTTTCAGTTACTGTCCACGGAGCACCCAATGGGTGCATGGCGCCACACTTGGTGCAAGGGAATGAGTGTTGGTTTTCCACAGCTATGAGAGAGAAAAGAAAAAGAAAAAACTCATTAGGCTTCCCTTTGTGTCCGTGAAACCAAAAGTGCTCCTTATACCGTTAGCTCCATTTACGGCTCGTCATCCTAACACTTGGCAGTATTGGAGAGGCTGAAGCTGAGCAATGGAGGTATATCAATGCCTCGGTTGGTTTATTCTTTTTTAATTTCTTCACCAAATTATTGACTCAGAGCGTAACCAAAGACCTCATTCACCACCCCCCCCATCGGTTCAGGGAATTGGAGTCTGTTGCTTACACGAGGGCGGGGTGCGGGGAGCGGGGAAGGGGGAAGGGGAAGTGAGAGAGGGAAGGCGTGAAGCTCTGTGCCTCAGCCGGCAATGCCTTTGCTTCGAGCTGCAGTCCAGCTGGCAGACCTGAGTTCCACCTCCCTGGGTCACATGGCCTTGGCTACCCTGGAGCACACCCAGCCTCCCCACCCGGGACAGTAGTCTCAGGCTGCTGAGGGGTTGATTTGCCGTGAATCAAACACAGCCAAACTTGATGCCCGCGCGTTCTCAGCTGGGCCTGACCGAGTGCAGCCCCAGCTCCTATGACCGTGAGATCATGTAGATAGGACACAGTCCGTCTCTGCTGGCGGATCGATGTCTGCAAAAGAGGTGTCCCCTTTATAATAAGATTTTCAAGTAGATGTATATGAAACAGTTGCTTGTGAAATATACTTTTGTAAATAATATTTAATTTTTTAAATAATATATTTGGTGCTGTTTTCTCAGATCCCCTGAGAGCACTTTTTATGTTCATTTTAAATCCTATGATTTCCTCTGCATTTCTTGAAGTGTATTTTAAGGGAAACAGTAATCACCAATATAGTTTTTTTTTTTTTAAAGATCTCTGTCACTTTAATCTGAATCAAGGCTTTAAGGCAATGCCTGTCTGTATTTTTTCCCCCTCAATGGAACAGACTCTGCAGTAAATTACCAGTTGAGAACTGAAATATTTTCTTGCAGTAGTATTGGCTCGAAAAGAAAGTAAATAAAACCAAGTAAATTTAATAGTAACAACTTAGGGTAATTGGTAATTGCTCTTGTTGGAAGAAGTTCCAGCAAATTAGAATCTTGTTTCTGTGTGTGTGTGTGTGTGTGTGTGTGTGTGTGTGCGCGCGCGCGCGCGCGCGCATGAGTGAAAGCACTTTGGATTGTGCCTCCTGCTTTATTTTCTACTGGGGACACTATACTTACAGTTTACACCTCATGCACTGTAAGGTTTTTCTTCTTTCTCTTGTTGTTTTTGTTTCTGAGTGGACCAACAGCATAGGCCACAAGGCTTGTTTTCTGGAGTATAGAGCTGTTGCCGGTTTGTTCTTTTTTTTTCTTTGAGTGCTCAACTTTTACAGACTGTAAAGGAAACCTCTGAAGATCAAGCAGAGTCAAATCTGTGCTTCTGACTGAGATGTGAGTGTATTAATCATGTTTCCCAGGACTCTAGTTGTTTTAGAAACCAATGATGTTAAACATTAACTGGTCTGGGATAAAAGAGCATTAATAATGTAATACACCTACCTTGTAGGTAAACACCTTTTAAAAAAATTTTAAGGTCAGATTGCCTCAGGTTCAGGAAGAGGCTGGGAAATCAAATCTTGAACACAATCAATTTATGTATTTTAAAAGAATCTGCCTAAAATGAGAAATGTTAGTCCTATAGGAACAGGAAATAAATGATTGATTTTTTAAAATTAAAACACAGTCATGAAATTTACTGGCAGTAAGAGAAAGCCAAGAAGAAACAAGCTATTCTCTTATTACCCAGTTCTTTTTGCCCGTGTTTTATATAACCTTTTGGAGAAAGCGGGAGTTGATTCCCTTTTCCCAACCTGCAGAGACTGTCTTACAATAGAGAATCTATTTATGCTTCTGTTTACAAACTGTATTTGTTGGGTTTGGATTTATTTTTTTGTTTATTTTTGTTTTCTTTGGTGGCATTTTTCAGGTCACTTTGCTTCAATAACAAAGGTAGTTTTTGAATAATTTGTCTTCACCTTTTCCTGTATTTGTACATAGTGATTCAGTATTACTGTAGAGAAAAGTGCATTGTTTCTCTCATATTTCCAATCTGTGTTGGTGCTCATTTGAGAAAATAAAGTTTTCAAATATTAACCCCGTGGTGAGCTCATTTGTCTTCATTGAGCCAGTGTGTTTAATCTTGACATTTAACCTTTCCAGTGTGGAAAGGCCCCCGGGAGGTCTTTGGTGTAAACCTCATCACAGATCTGCCAGCTGACACTGTAAGGTTAATTTTCCTAAGGACAATCAGCCAATTAATAAATATAAGGCAGGTCTCCTGCTTATCAGCAAATGTTTCTCCTGGCTTTAGCTATCTAAAATGCAAGTATGCATGACCTTTAACCAGTGTTCTTAGACTCTGTTTAAGACTTTTTGACAACCTCGTTTTCTTTGGATTGCATCAAGTAAAAGGGGGAAACGCAAAATACCAAAATGATGTGAAGTGGAACCCTCTCTGAATGGTTGGCTGTGGAAGAGGGATAAATATTCACGGTTATATGTGGAAAATAAAGATCAAGTTCTCTCATTCAACAAATATTTACCAGACAAATACTAGATTTCAGGCACTGGGTGAGGCAATTGTGTCATCCTAAGAGATCAGCTGTTTTTCCTTCTCTCAGTAGCCCTATTCCAGTCTTGAACACCCAGTCGCTGTAAGTACAATATTGTGTGTGGTGCCTTCGTTCATGAAGGCTATGCATACATTTAAGGGTGTACGCCCATCTCTTTTGGCTGTCTCCCTTGTACAGAAAGCCTAAATGTCGCAGAAAGACGCTAAAACACCAAGTGTGTGCGTATTTACGATGGTGATATTTTAAAAGCCTGTTTAGGGGCTGGGGATTTGGCTCAATGGTTCCACCGCCTGCCTTGCAAGTGCAAGGACCAGAGTTCGATCCCCGGTACCAAAAAAAAAAAAAAAAAAAAAAAAAAAAAAGATTGCCAGGCATGGTGGCACATGTCTGTAATCCCAGCACTCTGGGAGGCTGAGGCAGGAGGATCCCTGTGAGTTTGAGACCAGCCTGGGCTACATAGTGAGTTCCAGGCCAGTCTCAACTACATAGTGAGACCCTGTCTCAAACAAACAAAGCCTGTTTATAAACAAGGAAACACCTCTACTTCCCACAAATTTTAACCTACCCTCTCCTGCCAGCTGCAGTTGACTTTTATTTGTCATTGATTGTATGATCTTCCTATGACCTGTTTTGCTTCAGTGCATGTGCCTGTCATCGTTTCATTCTTGTTTGCCTTTTGCAGATGGTGACTAGAAAAAAAATTAACGTGCAGGAGACAACCAGTCTCCAGCCAGCAGTCCTTGGGCCCTCGATCTTGCAGGCTTCTTGTCTTATCCCCCGTGATGGCTGTGGCCATGGCTGTCTAGGAGGTCGGGCTGGGAGAAAAGGAGGGGACAGGAATGTTCACAGAGGGCCTGGGCTGGTGCCAGGCCCTGCGCTGTTGGGTCTTTGGCTTTATGACCTCGAGCAGGGACCCTGAAGTGAGGTGCTCCATGTCATCCCAGGACTCCTTCACACCCTATGGAAAAGCAGTGACAAATGCTGATTGTCCTCATTTTGTAGACGATGAAATTGAGTTTTGCAAGCTTGCATTATTAGTGTCAGGATCAGGAAGCCCCGTCAGACTTCACTGCCTGCCTCTCCCCGCACCAGACCGTGTTCCAAAGTTTCAGCCTCTCCTCCAGCCTTGTGAATTCTGCTGTGGCTTCACAAGACACTTTCCCAGTCTGCCCACCTTGACTGCTCAGTGACAAGGCTTGAGGGCTACTTGAAAAGTATTTTGTGTTCCATAGCTGAATATAAGCTTGGATTTGTTGTCTCTCTAGTCTTTAACTCATTCCATAGGTTTCCTTAGTACTTCCACTAATAGTGGGTGCTAAATAAATGCTTGATAGACACTGTTAGTGGAGAACTCAGTTTTTTAAAATCTCATTGAGCTGGGCACAGTAGCACATGCCTGTAATCCCAGCTTTTCAGGGAGGCTGAGGCAGGAAGGAAGTTCAAGCCCAAGCTATGCAATGTAGCGGGACCCTGTCTCAACAATTGAAAAAGATCTGGAGGTGTAACTCATTGCAAAGGCTCTCAGTTCAGTCCCTGGTACCTGAAAAACAAATCTTGAGTTAGGCATGGTGACACAGCCTATAATTGTAGCTACTCGAGAGGCTAAAGCAGGAGGTTCACAAGTTCAAGGCCAGCCTTGGGTTATGGGCATAACTCAGTGACAGAGTACTTACCTAGCATGTGCAAGGTCCTGGGTTCTATCTCTCCTATTGGGGGAAGGAGGAATTTGTTTTAACATATTAGTGTGAATGAGAGAATGGAACCTCAGCATAAAATGTTTCATATGTGAGGTAAATGGTTATACCGTTCACAATCAGTGTTTTTTGGGTTTTTTGTTTTGTTTTGTTTGTTTGTTTTTTGGTTTTTTGAGACAGTCTCACTATATAGTGAGACTGACCTAGAACTCACTATGTAGCTCAGGCTGGTCTCAAACTCACAGCGATCCTCCTGCCTCAGCCTCCCAAGTGCTGGGATTACAGGCGTGCGCCACCATGCCCGGCTCACAATCAGTGTTTCTTTAGTCAGCAAGCATTTGGGGGACATCTGTTATGTGCAGAGTCTAATGGAAAAACTAAAACAGGTCACAAGAAAGCAGAGGTACTGATTATGCAGAATGGCCTTCTTTTCACGATTGACCCAAACTCCAGCCACGTCCACCGAGACCCTGATAGGCAGCCGCTTCTGCGAGGCATTCCTGCATTGATCCTCTCTTCTGAACCCAATAAATGGCCCCTGTCCTAAAGCAGGGCACAGGGCAGGCTCCGGAGCTACAGGACTTGGGTTCATTCAAGCACCGATTGTCCTTTGGAAGAATAATCTCTGGAACACGTAGTAAGGAATAGGTCAGATGTAACTGCAGTGCGTGGTGTGGTGGCACATGCCTGTGGTCCCAGCTACTCGGGAGACTAAGGTGGTGAGATTGCTTGGGCCCAGGAGTTCAAGGGCCCCTGTCTCAAAACAATATTACAGATTGCTCAAGTCTATTTTGAATTCAGAGTGGAATAGAGAATGTATTCATTCATGGGCCGGGGATTTAGCTCAGTGGTTCCGCCACCTGCCTTGCAAGTGCAAGGTGCCGAGTTCGATCCCTGGTACCAAAAAAACAGTGAATGTATTTGTTCTTTATGTTCCATTATTTGTTAAGTTTTCACAATGTCCCCATATTACAGATGAAGAAACTGAGGCTCTGCAAATATAGAGGCTGCGGATTTAACCCTTCTGATTCTTTTTTTTTTATAGCACAACATTTATTGGTGCATTTTAGGCAACATAATGACACCTGTCATGGGGAATCCGCGCCTGTACA